AGGGCTTTGAGGCGGAGGGCGAAATCCAGAAGGCGCTGCACCTCTTCCAGGCTGGGTGAGAGCGGAGACGGGAAGGGGCTGTGCAGAGCGGGGACCGAGGAAGGGAGGCTCAGCTCTGCCCCTGCCTTGCCCATGGCAGGGTCCCCCTCCTCCCGCCACCAGCGTGGAGGGGCTCAGGCATTGGGGGCAGGCCAAGGGCAAGGCTGAGCCGCCTTTTCTGCCCCAGGCAATACTGGCGAAAATCAGCCACTGGGGCCGGGCCCCTTGAGGGCCCCCTGCAGATCCAGAGCACCTGGCCGGCCCTCCCAGGTGTGATTGATGCGGCTTTCCAGGACGTTGTGACCAAGAAGCTCTTCTTCTTCTCAGGTGAGGCTGTTTCCCCGCCCAAAGGACTTCCGCCTATTGGCCCCTGCCCATTGGTCCTTAAGGGGGCGGCTGGGGTCCCAGAGCAGCCATGAGCTTCAGGATCCCCCAACTCTCTCCCAGCCAAAAGCCAAGGAAAGGCAGCCTGCCCACTTGGGAGCTCCCAGGGGCCTTGTGGCTGCCCTGCCCGTGGAGGAGGAGGCCCGTGCTCCACGACCCACCCAGCTCCCTCTTGCAGGCCAGCGCTTCTGGGTGTACCAGGGGACGAAGGTGGTTGGCCCTCGGAGCCTTGACAAGCTGGGCGTCGGGAGGGAGGTGCGCAAGATTGTCGGGAGCCTGCAGCGGAAGCAGGGCAAAGTCCTGCTCTTCAGCGGAGATCAGTTCTGGAGGTACGTGGGCCTGGGGGGAGGGTGGCAGAAGTTGGGGGTCCTCTGCCCAACCCCCTACTCTTGGGAGCAAGGGGCTGGGGCTAGGGAGCAGCAGAGGGCTCGGCCCCGGGAACCCCCAAGCAGCGGCCTGCCGGGGGTGCTCCTGCATCACCAGCCAGGCCCCCCTTGGCCTGGGCAGAGGCTCTTGCCCTCTGGTTCCCCCCGGGCTGTCCTGGAACCTGGAGGGGCCAGGGAGGCCGCATCCCCGCCCCACCCACGCTGGAGCCCAGGCAGGAGGAAAGCAGAATCGGGATTCCCCCGCCCCCGCTCCCCCCCAGCAAAGGAAGAGGCGCCCTCAGGGTCCATCTTGAGGGCATCTGGCCTACTTTTGCTCCCCCCCAGGCTGGATGTGAAAAAGGAGCAGGTGGAAAAGGGGTACCCCCGCCCCATTGACAGCCTCTTCCCTGGAGTCCCCCTTGATGCTAATTTCATCTTCCAGTACAAAGGTAAGAGGGGAGGAGGGATCCGGGAGGGGAACAGCCTCCGGTGGGGTCCAGACAGCTATCCCCCGGAGCTCCCACAGGTGGTCCATGCCTGGGGGGAACCTCAGGAAGCTGCTTCCTGGTCCAGCCAGCGGCAGAGGCAGCAGGGGCAGCAGAGGGCTAGGGGGCAGGAAAGGCTCCTTGCCCACCTCCCATTGTGTGGGCAGCTACTGGGGCTGCAGCGGGCCAGAGCTCCCCGTGTCCCTCGACTGCCGGCTGGGTGGTTCTGCCACAGCAGCAGAGGGCGGGAGGGGCGGAAGAGGGAAGACCTGCCGCCCCCCCTCGCCTGTGCCTCACAGCAGTTGCAGGACACCCCTTCCTGCTCTCTCATGAACGGACCCCCCCCCCCGAGATATAGGAAACTTTAACCTGTGGGCTGCCATCCAGTGCTGCTTGGAGCATGCTACTCTGGTCTGGCTCTGGGGAAAAGGCGCTCAGGTGGGGGCTCTCCTGGGAGGGAGGAGGGGGTGCATGCCTGAATGGCTGTATTCTGATAGTGGGAGGGAAAGAGGCCCCCTGAGTGCAGAGGAGGAGGGAAGAGGCACATTACGAGACCCTCAAGGGCTCAGGACCATGTCTGCTATGGGGGTGGAAGGGGGCCTTCCTCTCCCCTTTCTCCTGCCTGCTCTCAGTGGCTTGGCCCCAGGACACTTTCTGCGCCCCCCCCATCCCTGGCACCCTTCTGGGATCCACAGCTGAGGGAGGGAGGGGTGCGCCAGCCCACACAGTGGACCACCTGGAGCTCCCATCTGGGTCAGTGGGGATGCTGGCTGGCCCTTGAGGGCCTTTCCGCCCCCCAGGTGAATAAAGGCAGCTTTCCCCAAACTGGGGAAGAGGTGAGGGAGCAGCATGGTGGATGCACCCTGATCCAGCCCCCTCGCCCAGCCAGGCGAGGCCTGCAGGGGGGCCTCAGGACGAGCCCCACATCGGCCACCTAGTGCAGTGCCGTGCTGGGGAGCTCTGGACTGGTTTCGGAAGGCGCTGTTCCTCCCTCCCTCCCTCCTGGAGAGATTCCCAGGGGGCTGCCCTGAGCCACGTCCCGCCCGGGCTGCCCTCTGCCCGGTCTCTCTGGCCGCGAGGAGGTTGGGATTCACATCGCGTGGCCGCTTCGCAGTGCCACGGCCCCAACGTTTTCTCCCGTTCCAGGAAAGTACCATTTCTGCCGCAATCCCTTCTGCTGGCGAATGACCTCCCGCTACCAGGTGGACCGGGTGGGATACCTGAAGTACGATGTCCTGAAGTGTCCTGATCAGTGAGGCTGGCCCAGGCCCACCTGGGGGCCCCCCGCTTCGAAATGCCTCTGGACTAGGGGGTTTCGCTGCGCAGCTTTGACCCTCCCCGGCCAGCTGGCCAGGGCTGTTTTTCCGCTGGCCGGCCAGGCGCTCCCCGGTGCCCTCAGGGCTGCGGCACAGCTTGCCGAAGACTTGCTGGGAGCAGGGGAAGGACTGCGGCTGGGGCGAGGGGCAGTTCTCCCTGGCCGTGGTCCTGCTCCACCGCGCTGATGGGAGCCCCCGGCCACAAGCACTCCTTCCACGCCTGCTGTCACTTGCATGGGGAAGCAGCCAGTCAAGAAGCCAGTGGAAATCTGGCCCATTCAGAGAGCCTTCGCTGGGGGTGGGGGGAGAGGGGTCAACATGCCAGGAAAAACCTTTGCTCTTTTGGAAGTCAAGTGTGGTTGAAGGGATGGGGGAAGCCCTCGTCCCCTCCCCACTTTGCTCCGCCGCAAGGGCCGCTTCACATTGGGGGGTGAGTTTGAGACACGGCTGAAATTCCCCCAAGAAGCAAAAGAAGGCTGGCCTGGACTGCTCTAATTCGACGCTGCGTGAAGGTTGAATTCCCTTTGCCCAGCTTGCAAGAAGCTTCCATTCCTTGTCTCTGCGGAAGTTGAGCATGTGGTGTGCTTCCAGACTCGGTGCAGGGTTTACTTTTCTCTTGATACATCCCTTGAGGGCCGGCTTTCTCCCCCGTCTCCTCGTCACGGGAGACGAGCCCTATCCGGGTTGCTTAGAGCGTCGCCTGTAGCGTTGTACTCTGGGCAGCGTATATCGTACCCTTTGAGTTCTTTTTGGGAAATAAAGTTTGATTTTGTTTTACCTCTTGCGAAGTTTCTGTCTGTCTGGCTGTGACTGCTTATTCGTGGGGAGTAAAATGATGTCTGGTCCCGTCAGTATCGGAGGAGGAGGAGAAGGGTCATGTTAGTCTTTGGGGGCAAAGAATCCGGAGGCGCCTGGTAGCCCCCTTTCCATCCTGTGCCTCGGACGAAAGCGCCTGCCTTGGAACAGAATTTGTGCCTTGGAGAAGGTGCCGCCAGACGCCTGGTGTTTAACTATAAAAAAGTTCAGTCGTGCAGACTAAAGACATCTTGTTTTATGGCTCCACAAATTGTAATGGTGGCCCTGTGAAACAGAGAGGAACTCTGTGCGCTGAAGCAAACAGTCCCTGGGAGGTGGGAGTCCCTCCTTCCCTTCTTGGTGGGGCCTGAGTCCCACCACTGGCCAGGAATTCTCCCCCTCTGTTCCTTCAGCAAAGGGGAGGAGCTCCACACCCTCAGCCCCGCCCAGCCAGCGGGGCGCTGACAGAGCCCACTGGTGCAGGCTTTTAGCTGTGGGCGTTTTGGTGCTTCCTTCTTCTGCCGCTGCAGGACCCACTTCTGCAGCCCTTCCTTCCACCAGCCCCCTCCCAGGCACAAAAGCCGCGCAGGTGAGCCCTGGCGGCCTCTGCTCAATGAAGTTGGCATCAGGAGAGGAATCAGGTTCACCAAACATCTGTGAAGGAAATGTCATGACACACCAGAGTAACTTCTGGGTCGCCTGGTGGCGACCCCATCAGCCCCAACCCTCCTTCACGCAGGCGGCAGAATGACTCGGTCGTCCACCTCGCCCAGCAGATGCTTCAACCGAGCAGAGCCGCCCTCCCTCTGGAGCTCCCCACTGGGGGAGCACTTCCCTTCCCGAAGCCATGGGAGTCAGCCTTCCCATCTGCCCTGCAGCTCTGCTCCTGGGGGGAGGTGACCCCCCCCAGCTCCCAGAGGAACATTGCCATAGGCAGAGTGGGACCGAACGGCACTCTGCGCTCCTGAGGAGTGCTTGTGACCTCCGAGGCCATCTCGGGAGCTCCCCCAGCGTCCACTTGCCTCACCCACAGACCCCATTGGGCCCTGCCGGGCTCTATCGAGGGAGAAAGGTGTCTATGGTGTGCCTCGGTCTCAGTTTCTCCAGCAGAAGGTCAGGCTTGGCAGCCAGGGAGGTCAAAGCCTCCTCAACCCTGGAGCTGGAAGGGCCACTGGGGTCATGGGGTACCATGCCTGGTCAGTGCAGGAATCCAGAGGAGGTGCCCAGCCCCCCCCCCCCCGAGCACATTCAGGGAAGGAGGGCCCAGCCCCGCTCTGTAGAATGGGCCCCTCTGTCCAACGGCGGCTTCTTTTTCCAGCAGTCAGTCAGAATTTGCCCTCCTGGAACTTCAGCCCTTCGTTCCATGCCCCGGAGCGAGAGGAAAGGGAGCTCCACAATCGCTTCCAAGATGCCAACGGATTCATGTCTCTGCACTTCCCCCTGGAACTGGTCTGTAGCTCTCTGAGGACTCCTTCTGCCCATTTCTGAAGAGAAGGACCACGCCTGCCCTCCCCGAGTTCCTGCCCCTTCTGCAGTTTGTGTTCTCCAGTTTCTCAAAGATTACATGTGCCCTGAGAACTTGGCAGGACCAACACGAGTTCCTTCCTTTCCCTAGGATGAGGTTCACCTGACCCTGGAGATTCCTGATCTCATTTCTATCGATCTCAGCCTCAGTCCTGCCCTTCATACTTTCCTGGGACACAGAGCTGCTTACTGGCAAGGAATGAACCAAAATAGGGGTTGAATAACTCTGCCTTTTCTTATTATCTTAGCATTTTGTCACCATCTCTGAGTGGATGCATCTTTTTTTCTCCTTATACTTTGAACATCTTTAACAATCCCCTCTGAGTTGCTCTTAGCATCCTTGGTTTACAATCAGTCAACGATAAAGTATCCACCATACACAATCAAAACATTAAAATGTTCCTGGTAAGAAAAACAGCTGGAGAAAACGTAACCAATTGACAGTAAAAATACTTGCAACCAATAATAATGATATTCTTAACAAAATAAAATTCAAGAAAATTCAAAATTCATTTGGGGCTTGTTTAGCTTTGCTTTCACCCTTCACAGGATTCCCCTCCTGACCTACTTTGCTTTGGCTAAACACATCTTGGTGAGGTGCGTTGTGTCGCCTGCCACGTTTTTCTCTGCATTCTTGGCCCTCCTTCTTTCAAGGGCTGCAGCTATTCTTTGCAGCTTATACAGGTATCGGCAGAAAGGGGGAATTGTGCCCCTGACCTCCCTCCTAAGAGACAACATCCTTCAGGAGCTGAGGGGTCCAGTCAACATACATTCCTTTCAACTGCTCAAAGTAGAGTCACCCGCCCGCCTGACTCTTCTCTGTCTCCTCTTATGACACACGTGCATCCTCTCTGACCTTCAGGGATCCACCATTGTTTTCGGTGCTGTGGGACCTTTTTTCCTTCCCCAGGTCTTCTTATTTAATAACTCCCTCTAAGTTCCAGCAGTCAGATTATTTTCTAAGTCTCTTGCTTCTACTTTTACCTCCATCCACTGGACCTGCTCCTTCATCTTCCTCCTTCCACTTTCTGCCTCTCCTAGCAGCTTCCTTTCTTTAAACTGATTTTTTTTTTTTTAAATCTGCGCTCAGTCGTTACCGATTCTGCAGTGACTGCTTGGACGAGTCCTTGCAGTTTTCAAGGCAAGGTGTTTCAGAAGGGGTTTGCCAGAGCCTCCTTCCTAGAGCAGAGCCCAGCTGGCGAGCGCAGGAGGTGGGGTTTCCGTTGCTTCGCGGCCTTTTCGGGCGAGCGCGGTTTCGCGCTTAACGGCACCTGCTCCCGACTCCTTTTGCAAGGCGCCGCCAGCATTTTTCCTCCCACCGGCGTGAGAGTACCCATTTATCTACTCACGTGAGTTTTCGAACTGTAATCCTTGTAATTTCTCATCAGCTGGCAAGTGGCTACTTGCGGCTGAAACCTTGACACTTTCTTCCTGGACTGCTACAAGCTTGCATTTGCTGCTGACAGGGTTACTTCCAGGCCAGAGGAGAAACTCGCTATAAGCATGGCACGCCAGAATTGCAGACTCCTGCCAGCTCATTTTTTTTGTAGCCAGTTGCAGAGATAATGTTGGTGAAGGAAGTTAAGGACAGCTCAGGCCTGGGAAAGGAAGCACTGTGAGAAATAACCCTGTCTTGGTTCTGTTTGGCATAACAGGAGGCAGAGGGAAAATTCTGGCAGGCTTTCAAGAGTCAGTTATTATACCTGGCAACAGTAAGTTCCAGTAGTTCCTCTGGTATCTGTCCTAAGCTAGTCTACCTTGAAGGGCTGACATTTTTCTTTATATTCTTCTTTTTCCTTTCTCAGGTTTTCTCAGGTTAACTCTCAGCTTTGAAAATGTGATAAGCTCCCTAGGCAAAGTCCTGTTAACTCTCCCAATTTGCTCTCTCTGTCAGCTTGGTCCTTAGAAAGCAGGGTACCTTATAGTCCTCAAACAGTCTCTGTTTCCTCAACAGAAGGCAATCACCCACAATGGGCCGTCAGCAGCTATTGGGGAAATGACCCTCACAGTTCAGCACACAGCTTCTCTGATCACACTTCTCCTGCTTACTTCCCCCAGCAAATAGCTCTCCCTGTACACCTGCTCACACCACCTTCCTGTCCAGTGTTCCCACCCACCTTTCACCAAACTCTGGATGAGGGCTGGTCCAGATGGCCACAGAGGTTTCCTTCCAACTCTGTCGCTGGATTCACATAACACAACAGACCTGGCTGAACTGAGCAGCTTGTAATTCAGCAGGTTGTTGGATCCCAGCCAGAAAGTCTTGGCAGGGAGATTTCTGAAAATCTGCTCATACCAACGTCTGGAGGCAATGCTTCTCAAGACCTCCTGACCGCGAAGGGACAAGATTTGATTTAATCAAGAAACTATTGACCAATATCTTTGTTGAATAATGAT